CGACAGCGTGGGTGTGGGCGGGGAGCGGGTACTCACCGACAGTCGACAGCGTGGGTGTGGGCGAGGAGCGGGTACTCACCGACAGTCGACAGCGTGGGTGTGGGCGAGGAGCGGGTACTTACCGACAGTCGACAGCGTGGGTGTGGGCGAGGAGCGGGTACTTACCGACAGTCGACAGCGTGGGTGTGGGCGAGGAGCGGGTACTTACCGACAGTCGACAGCGTGGGTGTGGGCGAGGAGCGGGTACTTACCGACAGTCGACAGCGTGGGTGTGGGCGAGGAGCGGGTACTTACCGACAGTCGACAGCGTGGGTGTGGGCGAGGAGCGGGTACTCACCGACAGTCGACAGCGTGGGTGTGGGCGTGGAGCGGGTACTCACCGACAGTCGACAGCGTGGGTGAGGAGCGGGTACTTACCGACAGTCGACAGCGTGGGTGTGGGCGAGGAGCGGGTACTCACCGACAGTCGACAGCGTGGGTGTGGGCGTGGAGCGGGTACTTACCGACAGTCGACAGCGTGGGTGTGGGCGAGGAGCAGGTACTTACCGACAGTCGACAGCGTGGGTGTGGGCGAGGAGCGGGTACTTACCGACAGTCGACAGCGTGGGTGTGGGCGAGGAGCGGGTACTCACCGACAGTCGACAGCGTGGGTGTGGGCGTGGAGCGGGTACTCACCGACAGTCGACAGCGTGGGTGTGGGCGTGGAGCGGGTACTTACCGACAGTCGACAGCGTGGGTGTGGGCGGGGAGCGGGTACTCACCGACAGTCGACAGCGTGGGTGTGGGCGAGGAGCGGGTATTCACCGACAGTCGACAGCGTGGGTGTGGGCGAGGAGCGGGTACTTACCGACAGTCGACAGCGTGGGTGTGGGCGAGGAGCGGGTACTTACCGACAGTCGACAGCGTGGGTGTGGGCGAGGAGCGGGTACTTACCGACAGTCGACAGCGTGGGTGTGGGCGAGGAGCGGGTACTTACCGACAGTCGACAGCGTGGGTGTGGGCGAGGAGCGGGTACTCACCGACAGTCGACAGCGTGGGTGTGGGCGTGGAGCGGGTACTCACCGACAGTCGACAGCGTGGGTGTGGGCGTGGAGCGGGTTCTTACCGACAGTCGACAGCGTGGGTGTGGGCGAGGAGCGGGTACTCACCGACAGTCGACAGCGTGGGTGTGGGCGTGGAGCGGGTACTCACCGACAGTCGACAGCGTGGGTGTGGGCGAGGAGCGGGTACTCACCGACAGTCGACAGCGTGGGTGTGGGCGAGGAGCGGGTACTCACCGACAGTCGATAGCGTGGGTGTGGGCGAGGAGCGGGTACTCACCGACAGTCGACAGCGTGGATGTGGGCGAGGAGCGGGTACTTACCGACAGTCGACAGCGTGGGTGTGGGTGAGGAGCGGGTACTTACCGACAGTCGACAGCGTGGGTGTGGGCGAGGAGCGGGTACTTACCGACAGTCGACAGCGTGGGTGTGGGCGAGGAGCGGGTACTTACCGACAGTCGACAGCGTGGGTGTGGGCGAGGAGCGGGTACTTACCGACAGTCGACAGCGTGGGTGTGGGCGAGGAGCGGGTACTTACCGACAGTCGACAGCGTGGGTGTGGGCGAGGAGCGGGTACTCACCGACAGTCGACAGCGTGGGTGTGGGCGTGGAGCGGGTACTCACCGACAGTCGACAGCGTGGGTGAGGAGCGGGTACTTACCGACAGTCGACAGCGTGGGTGTGGGCGAGGAGCGGGTACTCACCGACAGTCGACAGCGTGGGTGTGGGCGTGGAGCGGGTACTTACCGACAGTCGACAGCGTGGGTGTGGGCGAGGAGCAGGTACTTACCGACAGTCGACAGCGTGGGTGTGGGCGAGGAGCGGGTACTTACCGACAGTCGACAGCGTGGGTGTGGGCGAGGAGCGGGTACTCACCGACAGTCGACAGCGTGGGTGTGGGCGTGGAGCGGGTACTCACCGACAGTCGACAGCGTGGGTGTGGGCGTGGAGCGGGTACTTACCGACAGTCGACAGCGTGGGTGTGGGCGGGGAGCGGGTACTCACCGACAGTCGACAGCGTGGGTGTGGGCGAGGAGCGGGTATTCACCGACAGTCGACAGCGTGGGTGTGGGCGAGGAGCGGGTACTTACCGACAGTCGACAGCGTGGGTGTGGGCGAGGAGCGGGTACTTACCGACAGTCGACAGCGTGGGTGTGGGCGAGGAGCGGGTACTTACCGACAGTCGACAGCGTGGGTGTGGGCGAGGAGCGGGTACTTACCGACAGTCGACAGCGTGGGTGTGGGCGAGGAGCGGGTACTTACCGACAGTCGACAGCGTGGGTGTGGGCGAGGAGCGGGTACTCACCGACAGTCGACAGCGTGGGTGTGGGCGAGGAGCGGGTACTTACCGACAGTCGACAGCGTGGGTGTGGGCGAGGAGCGGGTACTTACCGACAGTCGACAGCGTGGGTGTGGGCGAGGAGCGGGTACTTACCGACAGTCGACAGCGTGGGTGTGGGCGAGGAGCGGGTACTTACCGACAGTCGACAGCGTGGGTGTGGGCGAGGAGCGGGTACTTACCGACAGTCGACAGCGTGGGTGTGGGCGAGGAGCGGGTACTCACCGACAGTCGACAGCGTGGGTGTGGGCGTGGAGCGGGTACTCACCGACAGTCGACAGCGTGGGTGAGGAGCGGGTACTTACCGACAGTCGACAGCGTGGGTGTGGGCGAGGAGCGGGTACTCACCGACAGTCGACAGCGTGGGTGTGGGCGTGGAGCGGGTACTTACCGACAGTCGACAGCGTGGGTGTGGGCGAGGAGCAGGTACTTACCGACAGTCGACAGCGTGGGTGTGGGCGAGGAGCGGGTACTTACCGACAGTCGACAGCGTGGGTGTGGGCGAGGAGCGGGTACTCACCGACAGTCGACAGCGTGGGTGTGGGCGTGGAGCGGGTACTCACCGACAGTCGACAGCGTGGGTGTGGGCGTGGAGCGGGTACTTACCGACAGTCGACAGCGTGGGTGTGGGCGGGGAGCGGGTACTCACCGACAGTCGACAGCGTGGGTGTGGGCGAGGAGCGGGTATTCACCGACAGTCGACAGCGTGGGTGTGGGCGAGGAGCGGGTACTTACCGACAGTCGACAGCGTGGGTGTGGGCGAGGAGCGGGTACTTACCGACAGTCGACAGCGTGGGTGTGGGCGAGGAGCGGGTACTTACCGACAGTCGACAGCGTGGGTGTGGGCGAGGAGCGGGTACTTACCGACAGTCGACAGCGTGGGTGTGGGCGAGGAGCGGGTACTCACCGACAGTCGACAGCGTGGGTGTGGGCGTGGAGCGGGTACTCACCGACAGTCGACAGCGTGGGTGTGGGCGTGGAGCGGGTTCTTACCGACAGTCGACAGCGTGGGTGTGGGCGAGGAGCGGGTACTCACCGACAGTCGACAGCGTGGGTGTGGGCGTGGAGCGGGTACTCACCGACAGTCGACAGCGTGGGTGTGGGCGAGGAGCGGGTACTCACCGACAGTCGACAGCGTGGGTGTGGGCGAGGAGCGGGTACTCACCGACAGTCGACAGCGTGGGTGTGGGCGAGGAGCGGGTACTCACCGACAGTCGACAGCGTGGCTGTGGGCGAGGAGCGGGTACTTACCGACAGTCGACAGCGTGGGTGTGGGTGAGGAGCGGGTACTTACCGACAGTCGACAGCGTGGGTGTGGGCGAGGAGCGGGTACTTACCGACAGTCGACAGCGTGGGTGTGGGCGAGGAGCGGGTACTTACCGACAGTCGACAGCGTGGGTGTGGGCGAGGAGCGGGTACTTACCGACAGTCGACAGCGTGGGTGTGGGCGAGGAGCGGGTACTTACCGACAGTCGACAGCGTGGGTGTGGGCGAGGAGCGGGTACTCACCGACAGTCGACAGCGTGGGTGTGGGCGTGGAGCGGGTACTCACCGACAGTCGACAGCGTGGGTGAGGAGCGGGTACTTACCGACAGTCGACAGCGTGGGTGTGGGCGAGGAGCGGGTACTCACCGACAGTCGACAGCGTGGGTGTGGGCGTGGAGCGGGTACTTACCGACAGTCGACAGCGTGGGTGTGGGCGAGGAGCAGGTACTTACCGACAGTCGACAGCGTGGGTGTGGGCGAGGAGCGGGTACTTACCGACAGTCGACAGCGTGGGTGTGGGCGAGGAGCGGGTACTCACCGACAGTCGACAGCGTGGGTGTGGGCGTGGAGCGGGTACTCACCGACAGTCGACAGCGTGGGTGTGGGCGTGGAGCGGGTACTTACCGACAGTCGACAGCGTGGGTGTGGGCGGGGAGCGGGTACTCACCGACAGTCGACAGCGTGGGTGTGGGCGAGGAGCGGGTATTCACCGACAGTCGACAGCGTGGGTGTGGGCGAGGAGCGGGTACTTACCGACAGTCGACAGCGTGGGTATGGGCGAGGAGCGGGTACTTACCGACAGTCGACAGCGTGGGTGTGGGCGAGGAGCGGGTACTTACCGACAGTCGACAGCGTGGGTGTGGGCGAGGAGCGGGTACTTACCGACAGTCGACAGCGTGGGTTTGGGCGAGGAGCGGGTACTCACCGACAGTCGACAGCGTGGGTGTGGGCGTGGAGCGGGTACTCACCGACAGTCGACAGCGTGGGTGTGGGCGTGGAGCGGGTTCTTACCGACAGTCGACAGCGTGGGTGTGGGCGAGGAGCGGGTACTCACCGACAGTCGACAGCGTGGGTGTGGGCGTGGAGCGGGTACTCACCGACAGTCGACAGCGTGGGTGTGGGCGAGGAGCGGGTACTCACCGACAGTCGACAGCGTGGGTGTGGGCGAGGAGCGGGTACTCACCGACAGTCGATAGCGTGGGTGTGGGCGAGGAGCAGGTACTCACCGACAGTCGACAGCGTGGGTGTGGGCGAGGAGCGGGTACTTACCGACAGTCGACAGCGTGGGTGTGGGTGAGGAGCGGGTACTTACCGACAGTCGACAGCGTGGGTGTGGGCGAGGAGCGGGTACTTACCGACAGTCGACAGCGTGGGTGTGGGCTACAAGACAAGCCAGGGTAGCGACGAGCAGCAGCAGTACTGGCGCTCTCAGACCCGCTCGAGCGGCACCCATCATTGTCTGAGGGAGAGTGAGGGAGGGGCTGAGTTGGGGTGGTGCCTCTGAGGGGTGGTGCTGGGGTCGGGTCTCTGAGGGGCTGAGCTGGGGTGGGGCATCTGAGTGGGGTGCTGGGGTGGTGCCTCTGAGGGGTGGTGCTGGGGTGGGGCCTCTGAGGGGTGGTGCTGGGGTGGTGCCTCTGAGGGGTGGTGCTGGGGTGGGGCCTCTGAGGGGTGGTGCTGGGGTGGGGCCTCTGAGGGGTGGTGCTGGGGTGGGGCATCTGAGTGGGGTGCTGGGGTGGGGCATCTGAGTGGGGTGTTGGGGTGGGGCATCTGAGGAGTGGTGCTGTGGTCGGGTCTCTGAGGGGCTGAGTTGGGGTGGTGCCTCTGAGGGGTGGTGCTGGGGTGGTGCCTCTGTACACCGCATGAGACTGTGGCACATGATGGAGAAATTACATCAAGTAATAGACCGTAAATGTTACACAGAATTACAAGTTGTGTCCAACTGGAGTCAAAAATAGCGATCAAGTGGGGTCGAGGTCCAGGACCCAACCGGAGCCCCAGAGCTGAGAGCTGCGGTGCTGAGGTATACCACCAGACAGGTTCCCATGGCTGAGAACAATAAAATATGATATTAGACTTGAGTAACTAATCTCATCGCTGAGGAGAAAAACAGGTGAGCAATGATCATGATGTAGAAAATACTAAGGAAATCCCTAAGATGGGCCAGGGTAGACAATTTACCAAGGGAAGAACACGACTGACAAGACAAGGACGTCAACTTGGCGCCCACATGATCCATAAGGATAATGTACAACATTTACTTCGCATCAGTTAAGTGGAGCGAACAAGGGAATTAAATAACGGAATCAGACTCCACACACGGATAGAACATTAGTTACGACATAAGCCGGTTGAGGAACGTGTATTACAATGTATATTAGAGGTAAGATGCAGGAACCAGGAGCTGAAGTTCAACCCCTCAAACAAACAGATATTCGAGGGAGGGAGGGAATTATCATGGGAAAGCGCCAAGCCATTACGACTATATAGCACTGGGAAGCGATCAGGATAAGGATTTGTGATGGGACAGGGGAAAGGAATGGTGCCCAAGCACTTGGACAGTCGGGGATTGAACGCCGACCTGCATGAATCCCAGACCGTGGGTGCAAGGCACTAACTCCTTTACCTTATCAGTGAACATGAACCTTGAGGCCTTTGGGGAAGGAGGCTGAGAGATCGTGTGGTTGGAGGACGTGTACAGGGCTGGTATGTGGTGGGGAGAGGTGGTGGGGAGAGGGGGTGGGGAGAGGTGGTGGGGAGAGGGGGTGGGGAGAGGTGGTGAGGAGAGGGGGTGGGGAGAGGGGGTGGGGAGAGGTGTTGGGGAGAGGTGGTGGGGAGAGGTGTTGGGGAGAGGTGGTGGGGAGAGGGGGGGGGAGAGGGGGTGGGGAGAGGTGTTGGGGAGAGGTGGGGGGAGAGGTGTTGGGGAGAGGGGGTGGGGAGAGGGGGTGGGGAGAGGTGGTGGGGAGAGGTGTTGGGGAGAGGTGGTGGGGAGAGGTGTTGGGGAGAGGTGGTGGGGAGAGGTGTTGGGGAGAGGTGGTGGGGAGAGGTGTTGGGGAGAGGTGGTGGGGAGAGGGGGTGGGGATAGGGGGTGGGGAGAGGTGTTGGGGAGAGGTGGGGGGGAGAGGGGGTGGGGAGAGGGGGTGGGGAGAGGGGGGGGGGAGAGGGGGTGGGGAGAGGTGTTGGGGGATAGGGGGTGGGTAGAGGGGGAGGGTGAAGGGGGGGGGGATGCTAGGGTGCGTGCTAAGGGACGGGTGAGAGGACGGGTCAGTCAGCAGTGGTGAGGCCTGGGAGATGGTGGGTTTGAAGGTGTCAAACCAACTGGAAACAAATGACTCAAGTCTTGGCGTGCTGGGGCTCCCTCAACTGGCCTCGCTCAACCGACCTCCCTCAACCGACCTCCCTCAACCGACCTCCCTCAACGGGGCTCCCTCAACTGGCCTCGCTCAACGGGGCTCCCTCAACCGACTTCCCTCAACGGGGCTCCCTCAACCGACCTCCCTCAACGGGGCTCGCTCAACTGGCCTCGCTCAACGGGGCTCCCTCAACCGACTTCCCTCAACGGGGCCCCCTCAACGGGGCCCCCTCAACGGGGCCCCCTCAACGGGGCTCGCTCAACGGGGCTCGCTCAACGGGGCTCCCTCAACTGGCCTCGCTCAACGGGGCTCCCTCAACCGACTTCCCTCAACGGGGCTCCCTCAACCGACCTCCCTCAACGGGGCCCCCTCAACGGGGCTCGCTCAACGGGGCTCGCTCAACGGGGCTCGCTCAACGGGGCTCGCTCAACGGGGCTCGCTCAACGGGGCTCGCTCAACGGGGCTCGCTCAACGGGGCTCGCTCAACGGGGCTCGCTCAACGGGGCTCGCTCAACGGGGCTCGCTCAACGGGGCTCCCTCAACGGGGCTCCCTCAACGGGGCTCCCTCAACGGGGCTCCCTCAACGGGGCTCGCTCAACGGGGCTCGCTCAACGGGGCTCGCTCAACGGGGCTCCCTCAACCGACCTCCCTCAACGGGGCCCCCTCAACGGGGCTCGCTCAACGGGGCTCGCTCAACGGGGCTCGCTCAACGGGGCTCGCTCAACGGGGCTCGCTCAACGGGGCTCCCTCAACGGGGCTCGCTCAACGGGGCTCCCTCAACGGGGCTCCCTCAACGGGGCTCCCTCAACGGGGCTCCCTCAACGGGGCTCCCTCAACGGGGCTCCCTCAACGGGGCTCGCTCAACGGGGCTCCCTCAACGGGGCTCCCTCAACGGGGCTCCCTCAACGGGGCTCCCTCAACGGGGCTCGCTCAACGGGGCTCCCTCAACGGGGCTCGCTCAACGGGGCTCGCTCAACGGGGCTCGCTCAACGGGGCTCGCTCAACGGGGCTCCCTCAACGGGGCTCCCTCAACGGGGCTCCCTCAACGGGGCTCCCTCAAGGGTTCTGGTACACATTGGCTCGAGCTTCACTGTACCTAATATTATTATAGTCTAACATTAAGATTTTTTTGTTAAAAAGTAGTATTAAAACATTAGCTTGAAGGGTCAGATATTAAAGTGATGTGGAATAACTGCTGTTAGTATGCTGTATTCAGTTAGAAACGTCAGTGGGAGAGAGAGAGAGAGAGAGAGAGAGAGAGAGAGAGAGAGACACAGAGACACAGAGACACAGAGACACAGAGAGAGATTTTATGATGGACGTGAGCTCCCGTAGTCTCTGACACGTAGGGTCGAATATTCGATACTTCTCCCCCACAGGAACATTGGTGGTAGTATATACCGCCTCCCTCCCACACCAGCGGCGGGCGGCTCAAGCCAAAGAACTCTGCGGAGACCTGTACCCACGTTTCACTACCCCGGCCCCCACACGACTGATCTGTGTTCATTCTATCACAACAGTAATGGATTATATCATAAAATAATACTGAAATAACCCAAAATAAAATAATACAAAATATATTAATTATAAAATTAACGTCCTGGCTGAAGGATAAGACGCCAAGTAGCTGCCGCAAGTAACTACCAAACAGATGTTCCATGCGCACGAACGAAGCAGTTTTGAAGCTTGAGTCACACAAAGCGCGCGCACACAATTATGGACCTTGGTATGGTGACACGATGACAACCAAGTGACTGAAACATCTTGTAAGTGAATGGTGTGATGACGCACAATACTACGCACTGTATCCCATCACACCTGTAGCACCTGCTACAGGTAACCACACCACAAATGCACGTCCAGATGTCACGGCGTAACTGCCAAGCGACGAGCCCACATAATAATAATAGGGAATCAGCTGCAGCCATGAGGATGATTCGAACCTGCATTCTTGTACGCGGGTAGTGAGTAAAATCTTGATATGGTATGAGCTTGATGTCTCTGGGACACCTTGTGGATTCAGCTAAATACCAGATTATATTACGCGTGTCGTGGTTTAAGGCGTGGGCTTGGGAGCAGTCAGCATGCAGGTTCGAATCCTTCTCATGGCTCCAACTGATTGTCTCATTGATACATCACTTTAATGGGATTTCTTAGTGCGAATAACAATAATAATAATAGTAATAATAATTCTGGGCAAAATAATATAAGCCAACAATATACGACACCGTTGCCATGAAGCAGCAGCAGCATCATAACCCCAGTACCAACAGCCACACTAACCACCCGGCCTGGTTGTTAACTATCCATACCAACACACACAAACAACCACGCCCTCGGTAATCTAGGAATAAAGAGGTACAACACTAAGAATAATGAACAATAATTGGAGCAGAACGTGAACTGAACCAGCGTCCTGGGTACTCCCAGACGAGGGCTCACACGCCTGGACCACTATATGCAAAGATTATATAACCTGTGGGTCTGAGGGGACCCCCAGGACGCTGGGTCGATCCCGTCCTCCGCCAACGATTTTCTCATATATCATAATAGTAGATTTTCTGGCGATTGTGACTAAGACTATGTCAGTAGTTCTGAAAATGATCAGCTGTTTTGTATCATCCTGGGCCGGAATAGTAACAACGAAGCGTCTTCAGCACTGAAGACGAGAGTTGGGTTGGTGGTTGTGCTCTAGTAATGGCATTATTGCCGTTGGTGGAGGTACGAGGTTAGCGTAGGCTGGGTACGAGGGGGGTACGGGCTGAGCGAGGTGAGGGAGCCCGCGCACCACCTCTCCTCGACCCCCTTTGTGTGGCCACATTCTCCGCTGCCGCCCGTGTGCACAAGGCAGCGGGAGGCCAGGCTGCCTTCATGGCCTCAAGTACCTCAACAGATTTAAACATGCAGTTACCTTTAGGAATATCGGTGATATTCGTAAAGAAGCGTAGCTTTAGTTTCTTAAAATGAGAATGTGTGTGTGTGTGAGAGAGAGAGAGAGAGAGAGA